AATAATGAAGAATAAATTTGTCTTATTCACTCTTTTGTTTGGTCACTTGATATATCAAGTTTACAAGTTAATTTAATTTGTATAGAACATTTACTTCAGTTTTAATTATAAATTATTAAATAGGGGTAGCGGGGCTAGTTATTACACGTTTTATATTCTTATTTTTAGTAATTTTTCATCAACAGTTATCAAAATTTTTATAAATTAATATTAATTTATATATTCTAAGCTGTCATAAAATAAAAATTTGTATTTTAAGTACTAAAAAAATATGTTTAACTTCTGCAAATCAATATTTTAACATATTTTTCCAAGATGGTGTTGTTTCATAGAGAGGGCTTGTTGTTCCAGTATACTTTTATATTATGTATTATTTAATTTTTTTATGGGTAATAAATATTACTCAATAATACTGTAACAATTTGTTACCATAAGATTGTAATAACTAGCCTCATATGGACATTTTTCGTATATAAAATTATTACACAAAAACGTATTATATTTTTATGATTTCAAAATAGACCATAAAATAGTATTATTTTATGAATAAATATTTAGTACCATACATATTTGATCTTATATTTTGGGTACTGAAAAATAAAAAATAAAATGTCTACTAAATTTTACTAATGACCACAAAACATAAAAATTCAAATGAATATTGATTATTGTATGATTAATATTTTCACAAAATATTTGAAACATTAATTTATTTAATAAATCTGTTATAATTAATTTGAATTATATATAATTCAAAATTAAAATATCCCAATTGTAACAACTTGCTAATAATATGAAGTATTATACATTTGTACTTCTTGAAATAATTATATAATCTATTATGTATGTGTCTTTTATTATTAAAACTGAGAATATTTGTTAAAAATAATAAATATTCAAAATATTTTGCCTTAAAAGCTATGAGTATAAACTTGTAAAAAATCGAGAATAAGTATTCCAAAAATCATATTATCAACATCAATGCTAAATGCATATTGGTACCTAAACTGAAAATATATCATAATTTTTTTATTTTTGATGTTTGAAAAATCCGGACTTATCTAAACCAAAAGTAATTATTTTATGTTTAAAGTACATTGAATTATCTTTATTTATAACTAAAGATAATACAACGATACAAAGATAATACTTTAACAGAAAAAAAAAGAATAATTATCTAAAATTTCGACTTTCAAGAGTTATGGGTATTAAGTAAATAATAATACACTATAAATTAAAAAATGTATTTTATGTAATTCTTTTTAGCTAACATATTTGTGGTATAACAGTTTAAAATATAATTTTACCAATAGCATATGGTAATTTAATTTAAGTTCTTGATTTATTTTTATTAAAAAAATCAATGAATCAAACAACTTGTTCAAACAAAGTTTGTTAATTATAATCTTTAAAAAATACCTAATTTTCAATAGCAAAAACCAATAGATTACATTTAATGATTGTAATAACTAAAAATAAAGTTGATGGGGATGGTATTAATAAAGAATAATGATAATGGCATCATCCGTAAAGACATAATAAATAAAAGTATTTTGTTTCTAGTTATTACTTGATTAGTGTAGTTAGTGTATTATTACAAGCGATGGGAAATATCGAATAGTAACTATCGAACTATTCGATAGTCATTCAAAAACTATTCGAATAGTAAAAATATTCGATAGTTACACGATTTATTCGAATAGTTTTTAAAATATTTGATAGTTTATGCTAAAAATAAAATATTCGGTGGTATAAACACAATTCAAATAATTAATCGATAGTTAAAAATGTTTGAAAATACCTATCACTAATTTTTTTTATTATTAATTGTGTCCTATTTATAATCGTAGTACCCCGAATAAAAAGTTTTAAACAATCCTATTTAGATCGTTAGTGTTATTAAAACAGCAAAACTATAAATCTAACTATAATTACAAAAAACCAATATTTTAGAAAATTTAACTTTACATATTTTTTTTAAGAAACATTTTGTTGTAAAATGATTATTTCGAAAATTAAGAATGATTTTTATTCAAAAAAAGAATTTTATTAAATTATTTTTTTATTTTATTTTTTTGAACAAGTAAAAATAATTTTAGAAAATTTTTGTAAATACTATTTTAAAAGAAAATATTAAAATCTATAATTTATATTCTATACATTGTTACGCTAAGTGTGTTAGTTTTAAAAATAATAATTAAAAACTGAAAAGTTACCTTTTTGAGCGAATTTTCAACTCTGATTCGGACCTGAAGGAGCAAGTTATTAAAACCAAATTTTACACAAATAACTTTCATATAATAAAAAACCCAACCTAGCACAGGGTGGTCGCGGTACAGTGGTGCCGTGGTATAGTTGGATCAAGTATAATGATATCTGACAGTGATTAAAATCACTATCAAAAATAAACGCTTCGATGCAAATCTTTAGATAGTGTTTAATTTTAAAAAAATTGGTGTTTTATTCCAAAAGCTACTTGATCTGCTGGTTCCTTATTAATATCTCGATTAAGATAAAGTATGTCGAATGAAAAAGGGTTTATTAAAAAATATTATTTCTCATAAAAAAATTGTGTGGATCCATAAACTTTTCAATAAGTTATAGCATTATAAAGTTAAATATAATAT